TCATTCTTTTACGGTTGTTGAAACTATGTACAAATCGCTATCTGATACGTTCAATTGTTTGCAGACTAAATATGCCTTTACAAAGGGAGTAAAACCCCATGAATAACCGTGATTACAGTGACCTCATAACACAGTTATCTTATTTCACCTTAGATTAGTGCAGATTTTTTTAAAACTTTACTCTTTTTTACCTCTTTTCTAACTTCTAAGCATTATTTAATTTCTGAAATAGCAAAACACTCTTATCAAATTTATACTCCACTAATTTAGAATTCCAATTTCAACTAAAAGACAACTTACATCAATCTTAAAGTCATCGAACTCAATAAATGGAGTTACCTATAGTGTCTGATCGAGCCAAATATGGTCTAGTTGGGGCTGTTCTGGCCTGTTATGGGCTGGTCATGCTGATGGAAATTTGAAATTTCATCATTTTTAATATTAATGAACATTGAGAATGTTATAGATATGTTATATTTTTTCCCTTTATTTTGTGAAGATGATGGTGCAGTTATGGTTATTTATAAATGGCGATTACAGGTTTCAAATAATAATTTAAAGCGAACTAACTATGCCTTTTAATGTGTTAACTACACTAAGAAAAAAAGCACGGTCTAAAAATTCTGTTAAACTACCAGAATATATCATATCTATATTCTGGTAAAAATTAAAGAATATGGTAAACTTTACTGTGCTTCTGGCTTTATGGAAACACTAAAATACTTGGTAATTTTTTTCCGATAAAGATTCTGGTAAAATTAGCAGTAAAAAATGGTTCTATAAAATGTGATAAAATTTGGTAAATGTGGTAAAATTTGGTAATTTTATCATGATATCTTAGACCCTGGCACAAAAACAATTTTTTCCGTAAAACTTGCTTTTTATTTTTTACTAAATGTGTGGTAATAAGTACTGTAGTTTTAAAAATCAGAATTTCCGGTAAACCATTACTGTATGAATGGAAAAACTACTGTTCTTAAAATAATAGTATTTGTAGCTAAAGTTCTTAATATATTAATCAAAATAAAAATTAATTAAATAAAAAGGCAAAATCGATTGTAACGCCCTTAAATCGTTACTTCCTAGAGTGAGTTTCAAAAGAAAAAAAAAAGAAGAAAAAAAAAACTGTGCGATTAAATTTTCGACGAAAGGTATATTTTATAACGTGCTTTTAAAGTTCAATTTATCTCTTTAAACTAATATGCTACCCAAGAGTATCTAAATATGTCTCATTTTTTTCAGCAACAAGAATTTAAAGTTGAAAATAGTTAAATAACAGGGAAAAATTTTAATTTATGGAATAATATTCTCATTAAGTAGTGCTTCCTTTCTCAATTTAAAGAATTCTTTTTGAACGTAAAAAGGGAAAATTAATCAATTGGAAAAATATTCTAAGTTGTAAAAAAAAAAAAAAAAAAAAAAANAACAAAAAAAAAAAAAAAAAAAAAAACATTTAATTTTTTTTTCAATATTTCTTAAAAAATTTAAATGCGGAATTTTATTATTTTTGCACAATCAGAGAAACAACTTTAAAAAAAAACTGAGCATTTTTTTTTCTAAAAGTGAAACTACGGTAAGTAAGTACGGAAACTACGGTAAGTAAGAGATTACTATCACTAAAATGGTATGTTAAAAGTAATTTTTCTTCATAATGTTATTATCTGCTAAAGCAAATCATTATTCAACTTTATAATTAAGATTACTGGTTGTATCTAACTTTTCTTTAAAATTATTGTCCATTATAAAAACAATTGATAATTTTAGCATTTTAAAATATAAGATTTGTTGAATCCGTTCAATTCAAAAAATGATAAGATAAGTATATTCTTTATAAAGAAAGAATTAGATAAAGATACTTATTAACAAAAGCTTTAAATCCTTCCTTTTTAACTGAGAGTTATATCTTTCTCTTCCATTTTATCAAAGCTTTTCTATTGAAATAGAACATAACTTTCTCCCTTTATCAACGCCATTGAACATAAATATGATAACAATTGAAAACATTTACAGTGAAAAGGATAAGGACTGTTCATATATTTTGGTTATTAACTTTAAATCAAAACTTTTTCAAATCATTCTGTAGAGAACTATCATCAAATTAGAAAAAAAAAATTGTTTACTAGTACATTTTTTAATAAAAATCATAACACTTACCTGCTTTATAAACCCAGAGTATCCAAAATGAAATGTTCTTTGCTTGAAAATTTTGTTCTCAAAAAATATATATATAGATTATTCTTTCATTACTTTAAGATGACAAACTACAAAATACAATTTTATAATTGTAAGATCTCGATATGAATTTCAATATGTAACTTAAAAACAGAATAGCTGAATTCTAGTTAAAATTAATCATTCAAAATTAATAAAATACTTACGAAGAAAACGAAAAAAATTTATTAATAATCGACACAAATGATGCTATTTGAAGCAATACGGATGATTCTTTATTGTTGTTTTCCGAATTATATAGATACAGAAATATATATACTATTCTATAAAGAAGAAGAATATTTTATGACTATTACAGTTCTGCACTTCTGAAATCACATTTATTCTTTGGAATGAAGTAAGCAATGTGGACTTAAATAACTTTCCTTTAATTTATAACGAATTGAAGACAAAAAAAAAATGATTTTACCTTAATACACACATCTTTAATAGTATGTGATCACGAAATCGGAAGTTATCAGATGCAAGTTCGTTGATAATGGAAAGGAATAAATTATTGAGGAATTGTTCTTCAAATGTTGGGCGCGATCTGTTTCCAATTGATTTACCAATTTCCAGGGTCGTTTTTTGACGTTCTTCTCTCTTTTTCTTAGGAATATTTTGCTTCTTATTTGCTGCTGAAAAAAAATGGCGTCCTACTCTATCAATGATTCTGATAGAACTAAATGAAAACTTAATAAATAAACTTAATATAAAACTTAATAATCAAGAAAAATAGTGTGAATATAAAATATTTAAAATAAATCATAATTTACTTTACAAAATGTACTTTTGTCTTCACAAACACACGACATCTGAACATTTCATAGAACAAAAATGAAACAAACCAAACGATTCTAGAGAACTTTATAAATTTACTAGGGGGCTCCGCCCCCTGCTCGCTACCGCTCGCCAACCCCCGAGTATTGCTACGCAATTCTTTTTTGTTTGCTTCGCAAACAAATTTTAATACATTTATATAAGGATATAAATGCGCGGCAGAGCATAAGTACGACTGTACGATTCTCCCAAATACTGATTTTCATCTATTTCTCGAAGACGATTAGCTGCCCTACTTCGATTTTCTCTTTGGCGGGCATTAGTAAGCTCTCGATTATTTTGTCGATTTATTCTTCGACGCTCTTGTTCATTTTGACGAAACGTGGGATCCAATCTCCGCTGTCTGCGATATTCTCGATCGCGATCTGTCCTGTCAGACATTATACTGAAATTCCAAATGATTGAAATGAGTTGAATAAATAAATGTGATTTAAAATTTAACCATTTTAAGGTAAGCAAGCCTCAGTAAGCTTTATAATAGCAAACAACAAAAATGTAAACATTAAAAGATATCAATCACTGGATAGGCATAAGAATGATAAGATAAGATGAGATGTAATCAGCAAAAACCCACTCAAAGTAAATCAACAAAAAGCTTTGACGCGAATGCGTTCTCTTTTCTGATTGGCTTAAAACTGTATCCTCGCTTGGATTGGCTACTTCTTTCGTACTGTCACGTGATACCTTAGATTTCATTGGCTGGTGCGACACCATCATTGGATTTTTATATATAGTTAGAAATGAAAATTGTAAAAGAAAACGATAAATTTGTCAATCTAACTAGAAATAAAGCTTTTTACCACATCATGGTGATATAATCGTTTGAGCTAGGGTCTCCATTTTACAGTGTATTAAGAAAAATAATAATAAAAACGCTTCACGATTTTATATGCTCTAACATTTTAGTGGAAACTCTTTATATATTTCTCTGTGAATAAAACGAATCATATAAACTTTGTATAAGCTTTAATATTTAGGGACATTAAAACCTTAATACATATAAAAGAAATATGAATATTTATAAAAATGATTCTCTCTGCAAATCATAAAATCTGAAACTGATATTAGAACTTGATTAGCTTACTAGTAAGTAGTACTGAGTATAGTTCTTTAAATAATCTTTACCTTTTTAATAACTACGATATTTTCTAATTACAATTTATATCAACGGAAACACTTCTTGTAACCTGTTTTTCATTTATTAAATTATTTAAAAATTGCAATAAGTCCGTGTGTATTAAGCAATGTGACAAAATTTGAATTATTCACATGTGCATGTATATTTATTAAAATATCCATGAAATAAAACAAATGGCGTCTTCTGCATTTTTCAGTTTTTAAAATTAAAGATATTAATCTTTGAGATTAAGTGGCAGATCTCTTACTGATTAGTGATGGTTACTTTATGACTAAATTCCTTTATGATAACTATCTAGACGCTTCAATAATACGTTTTAGTAATTTTGATTATACTAACTAGTTATTTAGTTTTCAGTTATATATTTTCTTCTTCATCAAATTCAACCCATTTTTATGTTTATGCTGTTATTTAAGTTATTATGCTATTGGCTAATAAATATAAATAAAATTCGAGTTTCCATTATTTATATGTACTAAGCCTAAATAAGGTTTTTTTAATAATTTAATACTCAAAAACTACATATTTTTGTGATTAATCACAACTACAAATTTTTTATGACAAATGTACGTTATCGCAAATGAGCATTTAATTGCTATAAAAAATAAAAATTCATCTGTGGTTGACCTCGATAACGCTTCGTCTCCAGTTGATAATTAATTTTTAGCTTTCTATCTTAAATATTAAATTACTATCTCTAATGTGTAATACCTAACGACAATATTTCGGACAAGATTTCAATAGATTAAGAATTTGGTTAACGGTTCACTCATGGGCAACCCTCAACTTTTTAACACTTGTTTTGTTTCAGGTGACAATATTGTATGTAAGAAATTTGATGATGAGTACAACAGAAGAAAAGATCAAAGACATTTTCTCTCTTCAGAACGAGTTAAAAGTTGAAAAAGTGAAAAAACTGAGAGACTTTTCATTCGTTCACTATAAATCCAGAGAAGACGCCGAGGTGGCTCTTGAAAAATTAAACAGTAAGGGATATAAGTTAGTATATTTTCAATTACAAAGTATAACTGTATGAGATTTTTAATAGGATTTAGTCATATTTAAGAACGATAAAAATATTTACGAACTTTCACTAATTATTATTTTATGAATTGAAACAAATTTAATTTCGATAAATTTTTTTCTTATTTTTTCTTATCTAATCATTTTTTTACTCAGTTGTATAATTTAAACGTTAAGAAAAATTATGATTTTAGTTGAAAAACGAAAACGAAAACTTAATTGTTCTATAATCAGTACTTATTGAAAAGCTAAAATATCAAAACAGCATTGCTAAAATCAATGAAGAAACAGACGATAAAATAGTAGAAAATATGATCATAGCTGCAGTTTCTGTTATTTTAATTATTACAGTTTAAAAGCACATTCATTTATAGTTAAGTTATTAACAGTTTATATTAAAATACTTAATTAAAGTTATCGAATTATATGAATCCATTTGTGTATATATTATTAAAACAAAAAAATATTTTTTCTTGTTAATCTGGTACTTGCAATTTAAGAAAAAGAAGAAGGTTATTGACTCGCACAAATATGACCTATGACGTCAGCACCAGCTGATCGTTTATAAGCAAAATGGCGTGTGAAAGTTAGGCTTAATTTCTCCACATAAGTTAGAATGTTAATTAAGTTGAAGTTAATTAAATACATTGCCATATCACACATCAAATTTGTTCAAATGGAATTTTTTCTCGTCCACGTCTTTTACTTAACTTATATTTATTATTTGTTTATGCATTTTATTGTAACCGTGAGGCATTTTTATTTTGTGCACTTGGCAACTTCCATGCGTAATTAGTTTGTTCCTCATGGCTTCATGCCTGTCTTTATGTTAAGTAAGAAATATATAGTGAAATAATGGAAATCTTTGTGAAAGAATTTTTGTGAATGAATCTTTGCGAATGAATCTGTGTGAAAGAATATAGAATGTATCATTTAAGGGAATTGATACTTGATGGGCTTGGCGTACTCGAAATAGAAAGGAAAGAACAGTTGCGAACGTAAGCAACCCATCGAGAAAACCACAGTACGTCACTTGCAGGTATCCCATTACACAACTCTTTTTTATTGTAAAATAAATTAATAAATAAATTATAAATTCAAAATGGAAAATTAGAGAAACAAATACGCAAAAACGAGGGGGGAAATCAATTGCAAAGCATACTAAAAGTACGAAATTAATCACAAATCATGATATAAAATTTTATCCTAAAAGAAGAAGTGTCTTAATAGAATAAATTTGCTGAAAAATACATGGAAGAAAAAGCTGTTAATAAAAGGGAGAAAAATCCAAAATTCAATTTTAATTACAATATATTTGTCAGCCCCAAATTAAGTATGATTGTTTCATGAGGCTAAAAATAAAACTTTTTAACCATTTATACGCAAATCGCATTTTTTCAATGATTCTTTTACTCAATGTCAAGAAATCAACTAGAAATTAATGCATAATACGCATTAATTGATTATTATTAATGGATTAAATAAAGATTAATTAATATAAAAATTGGTCTAAAATGTTTTGTTTTATGCTAACAAGTTTAAATATTATAATATTTAGTTATGTTTTTTTAAACGTAAGCAAGTTATTAAAATCTAAATTTGGGTGAAAATCAAGAGAAACAGTAGTTTTGCATCTAGATTTTCAAAAATATTTTTTAAATGCGAAAATTAAATTAATAAATAACAAAGTAATTTGACTCCGTACATTTGGAAGCTGTCAGATGCCAACAGTAGATTGTTTACAATCGAGCACGAGATGGTAAAAGTTTGTTTTGTACGCTGCAGAACATTCCACGTAACCAGAAGTTAATTAGAAATAAGTTATAAGTTACAAAAACATGAATAATATTAGATGTACAATAAAGATAAATATGTTCTTATAAGCAACTTTGCATAAATTTTTTAATTGTTGTAAATAATTTAATTATATTTAATTTCTATTCGCTTTTTTTAAGCTTAATTAGAATTCATCTGAACATTCACTCTGTGTTGTGCGTATGTTTGATCAACTAACTAATTTTATTTTAAGAATTAGAGTATATTTGCATTCTAAATTAATGATTCTTACTTTACATTTGTATCGTTAAAATAATTTTAATGACTCTTATGTGCGCCCGAACTTATTGTTATAAATTTTATTGTTATTGAATAGCGAAATTTGTGGCGCTACTTTACAACAAATAGTAAAAAAGAACCTTCTTTGTGTTTTTTTTTCTCTACACTAGGAACTATTCTTTGTTCTTGATGAAGTGAAGACCAAGAACCAAGAGTTATTTTATGGTGTTTCACTTCACCAATTTGGTGTAGAGTAGTTGTTACTATTTTCGGATTTGACATATCGTGGAAGATAAGAGCGTGGAACCCGAATCCGATTAAACATCCAGAGTGTAAAAAGCAGTGAATCGCTCAACTATTAAGGAGAGACGATCAAACAGAGTGTAAAAAAGCAGTAAATCGCACAACTATTAAGGAGTTAAGATTAAACAACCAGTGTGTAAAAAGCTGTAAATCAAGCAACTGTTAAGGAGAGAAGATTAAGCAACCAGTGTGTAAAAAGCAGTAGATTGCAAGATAAATCTGTCAAAGCTGAAAGTCCTCTCGTTGATTGAGGTGTCGAGCTATGGAGAGAGGCATACCACCTAAAGCAAGGTATATGACATCTGTCAGGCTGACCCCCAAAAAACTGGCTAAGCTCTTGGTTATGGTTGGAGAATTTCTGTTTAACGTTAAATAATGAATGTTTTCTTTTTATATTCAGAAATTTAATTTGTTTGATAAAAGTTGTTTTCCAATAAATGAAATATGAATGTTGTTTTCTGTTAGATATTGACATTGATGGAAGTATCATAGAAGTGACATGGGCGAAACCAGCAGATCGCGTAACACGCCCAAAATGTCATTCCAGACCGAATCAACCAGCACCCGCAGTACCTGCGCCATTTCTTTACGGAGCACCTCCTCCCGGATTTGATCCTTATAACGCACATTTACCTTTTGCACCATGTCCTGGGTAAGAATTAATTCAATCAGTACGAATTCATTCATTTAATCCGTAAGAATTCCTATAATAAATTACGATTTTAAATGGAATATAGATTACCTAAATCAATTTTTAAAGTTCGACAAAGAAGAGCTTTCAAATGTCACGCAGCAATCACAATAAATCCTATCAATGGCGAGAAATATAGTTTTATTAATGTAACACACATTTCACTCATTTCTACTTTGGTAATACCTAGCATAGATTAGCTAGTTGCACAATAGTGACATCCTCTTATACTCTTTCAGAATTCATACCAACAATAGTCTCTTATACTCTTTCAGAATTCCTACCAAAAATAAGTTGAACAATATAAACAGAGGAGTAGCAAATTATTGTTTAAATAATTAAAAATGTTATCTAAAACTGACGACTCATTAAGGAGGAAGGCAATATGAAAAAAATTGTTAGATTTAGTTGTTGGATGATAAATTGAAGGGTTTTTTTTTTGAATAATCACCTTCTACTTTCTCTTCGGTAATTAAACAAGTTATATTAAAACTCCACCTCCCACGTTAATAATTGTGACATTTTGATACGGTTCATATTTTTAATCACTTTAACGACACTTGATATACACTGTAAAAAATTCCGAATCAAATTTAAATGGTAAAAAGGCGTAAAAAAGAATGGTAAGAAGTACTGGCATTCAGAGTGCCGGTACTCTTTACCGTAAACTCCATTTATACTAGAACATGCTACGGAATTAAAATATGATATACCGTATTTTTTACAGTAAAAATTACCGTAAAATCACTGACTAACTCAAACTTAATTAATATATTACTGAAAAAATTGCGGTATAATATTTTACAGTAAAAATGAATTTTCGGTAAAATGAATTTTAAGGATGATGCACCCAAAAGTGCTGATACTTTACACCATAATTTGATCCGAAAATTTTTACAGTGTACCTATCCTTTCAAACTCCCTTGTTATCATGACTCTAAAAATATATATTAAGGGCCGTGATTGCGGAATGCCTTAAGCCTTTTCAGTTAATCGTAAAAATAAATGTATAATGGTTTTTTTTCTCTCTCTATTTTTACGGGAAAAATAACATAGAAAGATTATATTTTTGTAAGTTATTTCATTTAGATTTAAAAAATTAGTAATTGAGAAACATTATTAGAGATACTCTAAATAGGTAGCGTACGTGAATGTATTTTTTTTTGGAGAAAAAGAAATCCTAATTAAATTACTATTCTTTACGGTAAGGACATTTTTGGTTTAAAAAACCTATAATTCTGGTTAATAAAATCCAAAATAAGATATTTAAACCATTCATTTGGCTTAACAGTTTACCGAAGATTCTGGTTTTGAAAATTATAGCTCTTATATCTATACATTTAGTAAAAAATGCAAAACTGAAAAGTAAATTTTATCGGTTAAATGGTTTTTATGCCATGTTTTACAACATCATGGTAAAATCACGAAATGTAATTGCATTTAGTAAACTTTCCCACACACTAAAAAACTATATTTTATTGTGCATTTTACCAAAATCATTACCAAAGCGCTTCGATAATAATCCCCAAGTTATTTTTTTTGGCGTTTCCATAGAGACAGAAACATGATAAATTTTTATCTTACTCTGGTAGTTTTACCATATTTATCTGATAGTTTTACCATATGCTAGCATTGTTATTAGGGGGTAAGTAATAAATTAAATTGGAACTTTAAAATTAAAGTAACATTATTTTCACGCATTTGAAATGTTCTCCTATATCTCAGACATTAAATAGGGGTTCTGTAAATTGTACTGAAGTATAAAGAATGGTCCAAACTACCGGAATATGGTAAATTTTACCTTTTTTCTGGCTCTTATGGGAATAGTAGTGCTTGGGTAATGATTTGGAAGAATTAATAATAAAATATGGTTTGATAATCTATGATAAAATTTAGTAAATATGGTAACATTTGGTTGTGTTTTCACCATACTTTAGAGCATAGCATAAAAAAAATTATTCGGTTAAATTTATTTTTCAGTTTTGCATTTTTTATTAAACGGTGTGGTATTTAGAACTAAAATGTTAAAAACCGGAATTTCCAGTAAACCGTTATCTTATAAAAAAAATTACCAAATGAATGGTATATTCATTTGGTATTTAAATTGCATATATTTTAGTTTGGGGAACCGCCATTATGTTTTTTTTTTTTTACCAGAAATGCCATTACCATACAGTATGATAATTTTACAGAGTTTTTTTTTCCTTCGTGTTTGTGTCACGTATTTTTCAGATCCTTTTATAAATTAACTTAGAAATAATTCAGATTATGAGAGTTGCAAGTAAATATTTAATAACAAATTTCAGAATTAAATAAATCCAGATTCGGGATGATATTGCATTTAACTAAAAGGAGCAACTTTGACGTGAGATGTAGAAAAATTATCCTGTTTAATTAAATAATTGTTATTATTTATAAATAGAACACAAAATTGTTTAATATCCGTGCATACTCGTGTAATTTCTTCAATAATTATATTTGCTATTTAAGGAGAGGTGGTCTGATTCATCGAGTACCTGCATTCAGAGGACGAGGAAGAGGTGCCGCTGGTGTCAGACGCTTCAGAAATTTCATACCTGCTCCAAACCATCCAGGATCATTCAAATCTACAGAGGTATATTTCGAATTATTTTCTTTATTCTAAAATGAGTTGATATTAGTTTCGTGAAAATAAACAAATAAATAATATTTTTGCAGCTTTACACGTAAAAATTGTTTGAAATGTCCATGAAAGATTTTCTTGTTTCTTAAAACGCAAAACTGTATTTTAATTTTTGTAAACACTTTTAAATAATTTCATTTATGTCTATGAAGCGAAACATAAGCATCAAGAATATGTTTTAAATGACATTAAATACTATGATATCAAGCATTATGCTGCCATCTATTACTTAGAGTTTAAGCTAATATATTTTAGTGCCAAGTCTTTACAAAATTCATGAGAAATTTTTGTTCCTTTTAACGAAATGCAGTTTATGGATTAAAACTATTCCATTGGGAATTTGTTTTTAGTGCTTTCGGTGATTTTCCGTGCTATCCTATAAGTAATTAATTTATCCTATAAACCGATTGCGTGATTTTGAAACAGATATTAACAACATTAAATTCGCAGCCAAAATAAAATATTTCAAGAAAGGTATCTAAAAGAGAAATAGTAAACAGTATGTTATTTATATTCTATCAAAAGATAAAAATATGAAACCATTTCGAGAACACATAGAAACTGAAGTATGTTTTTAGAAGATTAAAAATAGCTTTGAAAACATAAATGGATTTTTTTTAAAACTTTAACTACAAAAATGATCCTTAATCGTTTCTTGAAATTTTAATAAAAAAGAACTCTAATAAAAACTAGTTCTAACATTAAAATCTATTTTAATATTTTTTTAAAAAAAATTTGCGACAACTTTTTAAAATATGACTAGTAATAATATATTTTTAAAAAAAACTTAACTCAGTGACGCGACAGCCCATAAAGAGCCAAGGCCTACTGTACCCATCTCAGTTTTCTTGATCTTGGGCTTTGGAGTGCAGGAGGTCAGATGGTCAGCCGAACTCGGAACTCCCAGTGTTTAGTTCCCATGCATGCTTGGTACTCATTTATAGACCCACTGAAGGGATGAAGGACTGAGTCAACCTTGCCCGGCTCGAGGATCGAATCCAGGACCTGTCGCACGGGAGCGCTGCCACTCAGCCACTGAGGGTCAATAAAATATTTCAAGTTTGCATAACTTGATTGATGTTGTTGTTGTTAATTTACGTCGCACTAGAGCTGCACAATGGGCTATTGGCGACGGTCTGGGAAACATCCCGGAGGATGATTCGAAGGCATGCCATCACAATTTTGATCCTCTGCGGAGGGGATGGCACCCCCGCTTCGGTAGCCCGACGACCTGCGCGCGAAGTCGAGCACTTTACGGTAGAACAGTTTAACGAGGATCAATACCGCACACCCTCGGTCCCTACGCAGCCTGATCCAAGTGGTCACCCACCCGCACACTGACCGCAGCCAGTGATGCTTGACTTCGGTGATCTTCTGGGAACCGTGTCTTAACGATCAGTCCACTGCGGGACTTGCATAACTTGAATTTTCTGGAATAATTTTAAGTCATTCGGAGTTGTTTTGATGCCCTGCTGTACCATTGTCTAACTGTCTAAAACAAAAAAGAAATTTATAAGTACCGAAGAATTTTGCGTAATACTTTTCAAACTGAACATCATCCGTTTAATTTTATAGGCAAACCATCCCGGTCATTCTACACATTATCCTCAGCATGCTTCAAACAAAGTAAGCAGATCTTTAGAGAAAGGCGAACAATACACTCCTGAGTACGTTTTGATGCAATTACCTCCAAATGCTGATGGTAAGTAAGGAGTGACTCGAAATTATTTTCTCATTTTACGCAATAGCATCATAAATAAATAAGATTTTGATATTAAGCTCTGTTGCAGCCGTATATCTCAGTAGCGAGCAAGAAGAATTTTTTTTAAAACTTTTAATAAAATAGTTTTTTTTCTTGTTTAGATGAGTTACTTAAATTTAAGAAATGCGATTTTCACAGCTAGGAAAAAAATATTATAATTGCTGCTTAGAATTTTTAATCTGATTTCAACTAAATTTGTTATGCTAATATCAAGCATCAAGAATATTGCTGATATCTATGAGAATATTAATATCTATGAATATTTTTTACATTCTACTTTAGATTCATAGTTCAGCAGCTCTGAGTCTGATGAATTGTTGAAAACTGATAAAAAAACTGATGAAAAGCAACTCACATAAATGTAGTGAAAATTTATTTAAAAGTTGTATATAATAAACCTCTAAGACTCTTAAAAGTACTCTGAAATTCCGAAAATAACAATTTAGCTGCAGTAAATCTTGACAAGTAGAGATGCCTAGATAGGTCGGGAAAATGATAAACACTATCGATCATCTCCAATATCAATCTAGACACAGAAAAGCCAATTTGAAAAAGTGCAAATAAGAAATTATGTGCTGTCCTGAGTTACCATTGCAGTAGTTTAAGTGTTGTACAGTGTGCAAATAAATAAATAAATGGACCACCTTGAATAGCTTTTGATCTTATGATTCACGTTCTAGTTCTCAATCTTAATGGTTTAATTGGCTGACCTTAGTACAGGCGATATTTTAAGTTACAAAATCAGAATCTAAAATGCACTTTCTTTGAATAAACATACCTTTTTTTTCGATGGTTTTTGGACTTTCGACCTCCAAAATAAAGGGGGTAGCCGCACATGGTAAATATATTCCCAATATTTTTCTCAGGAGAGTGGGCCAAAGTTTGGACTCCTTAATGTTGATTTTATTTTTTGTTTATTATCTCGGGAACTATCTTATATCTTGCTTATTATTACCGACTGGAAAAAAAATTTTACGCAATTATAAAATTCGTTTACCCAAAGATAATTCGACGCAAAAAAGTTTTAGTAAGCATATATTATTTTTTTATTATTTTATTTAATAGCAGTCGAAAAAATTTTGAATTGCAAGGTACACAATTATATGAAATGTGTACGCATATACGCACCAAGCGTAAGAATCGTGTTAAGAAATCTGTTCATTAGTGAAATGTGAGTTGCAGAGTTAAAATTTCTGATCAAATTAGGTAAAAAGTATCAACACTGAGGGTGTTGGTATTTTTTTTATCATGAAATCCATTTCTACCGAAACATATTACGGAACAAAAAAAATCTGATTTACCGTAATTTTTACAATAATAATTACCTTAAAATCATAGAATAACTCTAATTAACTAAATATAAATAGAATTGGTGTATGTGTATGCAACCTAAATTACTGACACTTACTTAATATTTTTGCATAAAAATAACTTTACAAATTCATATTTTATTCTAATTATAAATTTTAGCATTACTGAATTACAAACATGGTGGTTGGTGGCGACTATTTTACACCACGTAGTGTAAAATAACATTTTAAGTTTTTCAGGAACAATCCTTGGGTTTTGGTGAAGTATGGAGCACCACTTTGGTGTTAAGTAGTTGCCACCCTTTTTGGTTTCATTCAAATGGCGACAATTTTTTATAATGCAGTTGTGCAGTTAAAGGCCCAAAAAGTCATACTTTTAAAAAAATTTCTCAAGAAATGTTTAACTGGTTCTGTCAATTAACGTTACATGACAAGAGCTTTATACTATTTTATAACTTTCTTCTATCTATTTTTTTTTTCTTTTAGGTATTGATCCACCTTTAGCCGTGCCAGGACCTCCACTTGTCCCACACGGACGCGTTGCTCATCCCGCATATTTGTACCATCCACCAGGTAAGTACAAAACGATATATTATTGGCTATTTCTTGATCGATGTAAATAATCATTTATTGGTTAGAACAGTAGTTCCCAACTTTTTTTGGCTACGGATCCCTAAGTAGTTTAGCTTCTTTCGGCGGAGCCCCGGTGTTATGAAAAAAAAAAGCTTATTAGCAGCTATAAATATACTAATAATAATTAAAAAAGAGAGAGAAAAAGAAATCTTGGTTTATGCGTTTGTTGAAAATAAATTTCAAAAAGAAAAAAAGATGTTATAAACATTGGGAATAATAATCAGGGAAATGTAATTCATTATTTTTAAAAATAATTTTACTTATTTTGAGTTGAAAAGCTCGATGAGAATTACTTATTAATTTTTTTAAAATCCCTATTCTTTCCATACCTTCGTTATTAAAAATAAATATTTTAGTAAAAATTTTGCTAAATTTTTTCATTGGCCTTTTACGTAACTAATTTCATATAAACAAACAAAATTAAATGAAATATGGAAATGTTGATTGGATATAAATATAATCTTAACAGGTTAGAAAAAAAAATTTAACTCCCGGAGCCCCTGTAATCCTTCCACGGATCCCCAGGGTTCTGCGGAACACCTTTCAGGAACCACTGGGCTTGAAAATTTAAGAAAATTATCAAAAAAGGAGAGAGAGCAGGTTTTTAACAATTGTTTTTCACTTATGTATAACTGAAGATCGTTGTAGTTTCAACCTTCTTTTATCCGGATTAAAAGTTCCGTATACCCCGGTTTTGTCACAAAAAGATCAGTTTTTAGCCTTAAATATACTTATTCGGTTCAATTTAAAATATAAAAATCGATATGTTTGTTCAATTGAATACCTGCAAGTGACCTCATAGTAGGCAATTCGTGGCAATTTTGCTAATTCAGAACCAGATCAAGTTCGACACACACATGTAACGCCGATTACAGGTAAACAAAGAAATTTGATCACATGATTAGGCATAATCACCTCACTTTTTTCTTGAATTACACACACCCAATAGTTATTATCAAAAATGTCATATTTATAAAGTAGTTTTAAATATTTTTAGAGTTTTTGGTGCAAATATTTTTGCTGATTATTTTTAAAAAAACATATAAAATTTGTTTAAAACTAATTTAAAATAAGCTTACACTTTTGAAAGAAGTTAAAAATATTTTATAAAATTCAAGGTATTTTCTAGATACGTTAAATATCTTAGACAATCAACATATATGCTGTTTTCAAATTCTGAACAAAAATATGTATTTAAGCACGGGGAAAAAAGTTCTGTTAAAAAAATTCTGGTAAAATTACCGTACTGTATGATAATAACATTTTTGGTTTTAAAGCTATAAATATCGTTAATAAAACCAAAATATCCAGTATTTAGAACCATTCATTTGGTAATTTTTCCATTCATATGTTAACGGCTTACCAGAAAGTTTGATTTTCAAAACTATAGTTTTTATTGCCACACATTTAGTAGTACAAAACTGAAAAATAACTTTAATCCAAAAAAATGGTTTTGATGCTATGATTTAATGTATTATAATAAAGTTACCAAATTTTACCACATTTATCAAATTTTATCACTCATTATTAAACCATATTTTTGGTTAATTTTACCAAAATCATTATGAAAGCGCTTTGATAAAAATTACCGAGCTTTTTGGTGTTCCCATAGAACCAGAAGCAAAATGAATTTTATCATATTCTGATAGTTTTGACCAAACATTTTTTCTGAGTGAGAGGATTGAAGTTATTAAATGTAGTTAAGAGTAACTTGGGAAGTTTCATAAAGAAAAGTTATTTCTCAAAGTTTTTTTTTAAAAATTTCATGAGTACTTCAAATTTTTCAAAATTTTTTAAAGCTTTTTCAAATTACGATAAAAATAATGCATACTGTATAGTTTTTTTGTGCCTCAATATGAATTTTAGTGTTTTGATTTTTGATGTAATATTTTTTCTAGGATATGAAGATATACCATATTTCACATACATACCAGGTCCTGTTTCTGGTTACTGAAGTTTAAGCGTCGGAGCTTCCTAAACTTGTGTATATTTGATGACAGTTGCCATCATTGGTTGACATATTTCTTTCTTTATATTTATTTAACTTTTTGTTTCAAGAAATACTTTTTCATGTTGACGGTTCTATAGTTTAAACAGTACAAAAAGTTTGTTTAACATTGCATTCATAACTGACCTTCGCTTTATAACTCAAATTATGCAAAAAACTTTGTGTCGCGACACAGAATATATATTCAAATATATATTGAAATGATTATATATTTCAAACACGTTTTTTTTAAAAATATAATTTGTATGTTTTGAACTTTTCAACTTATTTATTTTTCGTTTAAAAAAAAGATAATGCAACTCCAATTTGGACCAATCAAAACCAATTAAATTTATTGCTTGATTGAAAACTTCATTCGTTTCAAAAATATACAATTTGGAAATTAATAGTGACATTTTTCAGCGCTCAAAAATAGACTCCCATTTTCAAGGTTTGACGGACGTGAATAAGTTTCATTCCTTTTTTCGCGTCTGACAATTCTTGAAAATGGGTCCCTATTTTTGAAAGCTTGAAGCATGTCGACTATTTATTTCCAATTTGTATATTTTTAAAACGGCTAAAGTTTTTAATCAAATAATAAAACGCAATTTAAGTGAATTAATGTTATAATTATGAGTTCACTTTTTTCGATATCATCAACAACAGCATTTTTTCATCATTGTTGTCTGTGCTTGAATTAAGATGATTATATTTTAAATATTATTTATATCGGTATGTATGCAATGTAAATTAAACTACTTGCTTGAAAAAAAGCTTGTTTTTTTCGTAAGTATTTGCGTAAACATGACATTGACAGAGTGCTTTTTCATTAACAAAAATGATGCTACGAAACTTTTTTTTTTCCTCTGATGTCTTAAACATCAAGTTCACACACGTTTTATGTTTTAACTTATTTCGGAGTGAATTTTTGGAAAAGTATTAAGAAATAGGATTTAGTATTATGAATTGCTTTATTTAAATACTACTGTACTCTATTATGTATATTTTCTTAGTTAAATAAAGCGTATCAAGCAATTTTTTTCGTACACATTGCTTAAGTTTACATACACAAACATACATTTCATACATTTTCTTATGCTTTTAATATTTTTAAGTTTAGAAAGTTGCAGAAGAAAATTTTATTTTCTTATGCAATTTTTTAAAATATATTTGAGATTAGAAGAAACAAAAACTGCGATGTAATCGAACGAAATATTACAAAGGAAAGTGATTTTGAAAATATAAAATGTGCTTGATTGTATGAATGAACAGGAAAGAGATGCACTGTAAAACAGTCTAGATAAAATTATAGTTTAAAGTATAAAGTTATAGTTAAAAGTTAAAGTCTATATAAAATTATAGTTATAGCACTTTGAACTTAGGGTGCATCATCGGTAAAACCGCTTTTCACCGTAAAATATTATGTCATTATTTTTACAGTAATATTAATTTAATAAAATCAGTGATTTTACGGTAATTTTTGTCGTAAAAATTAAGGTATCTAATTTTTTTTGACTCTGTAGCATGTTCTGGTAAAAAGCACCGAGTCCCTGAGTTCCGGTACTTTTTACCGTAATTTGATCCCAAAATATTTGTAGTGAGCATGTCTATCTTTAGATACACCTTCAAGTTTCGCCAGAGAATCACACAGGCTTATATGTTTTTTATTCAACTTTTCTTAAAAGATTATACTTGTTTTGATTACTTTTTATTTCGGATCGCATGCAAATCGAATCCAGCTTACAATAATTTACAATTGTAAATAATTTAGTTTCCAATTTATGAATCATTAAATTTAAAATTGACTTAAGAATATTATCAACGTGATCGATTACAGAGTTTGCTTAAATTGTTCATTATCTGTTGCGCACTTAGTAAATTTCCTGATACCCCCTGATATTTGTTTCATTTGAAGGAAAATGTGTGTCAATTTTTCAGAAAATATACAAATTTCTCCAGAAATATTAAGGAATAAGAAGGGGTTTGTATCAGATAGAAAATGATTAAGTAGTCTTAATTAACAGGCTTTTTTTTTCTTCAGATCGAACCCAATTCTTTAAGGTGTGTAGACAGAAGGGAAAAATTCTAAATAAGCTTTTAATCATCTTAGTATGCACACGCAAATCAACTGTGCTGTATACTTTCTCAACTCGTCAGTATCATTAGAAGCATCACTGCGAAGAAAAATAAAAGATTTCTTAAAATTCAGCATAAATTAGTCAAACTAGCTCCGAAACAAATATAGTCAAATTTGAACACCATCTGCACATCATTGAGTACAGTGAGTAATTAAATCCGTTTATATCACTGTACTGTAAAAACTTCAGGGTGACAAGGGATAACTCAGGGATAAAATTACGTCAACTCAGATATAAATACGTCAACTTAGGGATGAAATTACGGTAAAAAGTACCGGCACTCAGGGTGACGGTATTATTTTTACCGGAGCAGTTTAAAACTGATATATCGGAATTTTTCAGTTATAATTACCATAAAATCACTGAATCACTCTAATTAAATAAATATTACTGTAAAAATTAAGGTATAATATTTTACGATAAAAATAGAATTTGTTTATCATGCACGTAGAGTGCCGGAACTTTGTTTCGTAATTTTATCCTGAATTTTTTACAGTGTGACTAATTTCCAAACGAGTATTTGTCAGAAAAAATTTGTTTGTTAACAAATAAGGACGAAAACAATAAAGAAAAAGACAGTTGCCAGAAAAGCATCGTTGCTCTCTCAGATTTTTTTAAAAAGAAATACACATCAATCTAGAAAAAGAATTCAAGAGGATTCCTCAGCACTTATTGAGAAAGGGTAATGTTCTCACACAGTACTTTTTCTTTACCATCAGAGAAAAAATAATGTAAATAAAATTTGGCTAAAAGGAATCACGAATTTATAAACAAATATTTTAATAATTCTTTTCTTTACATTCAGGTACATTGACAGGAAAATTACAAATTCGATCTTTTTCACTAAACACGGTGCCAGCACCACAAGTGAACAAGTAAATTAGGTAATCGTTGACAAATCCTGGTCTTTTGGGTTGGCACAAATAGAAAAACTTACAGTTTTCTGGATGTCGGAAATAACCACTTTGCGAACAAGAAAGAACATCTTTATTTGGGAATACCGGAATTTTGTTTGATCTAGTTGACCCCGTCACTACTCTTGGCGTGGTTGAAACTGTAGTTGATGGAGATGGCACAGTTGGTTTTGCTTTTGAAGTCGGTAATTCTGTTGAAGTCTTTGGAAATATGGAGTTATCATTGTCAGTCACTTCCTTCGGAATGGGTTCTGATGAGCCAGAGAGAACGGAGTTGATTGTTTGTAATAGTGGATATTTATGACCATGGCACCTTCCTCTGAAATCATCAGTTTCTATTGACCAGATCATAGCACCGCCAAGATTCATTTTAATTAGATAATTTACCTGAAAGGGTAATAACAAGGTTTTGGACACGCATTATTAAGGATTTTTCCTTTTAAGAAGTAGATATTTGATTTTTTTTTAAAGTCTAGCTTTATATTTACTCTTTTAAAAATAAAGTTTAAAAAACATGAAACTTATACACCAAAGAGCCATTACATTATGACCACCCTGCTAATAACATGTAGGACCCTCTTTAGCCCTCAAAACTGCTAGCACTCGTCGTGGCATTGATTCCTCAAGGTGCTGATAGGTAGTCTGAGGTATCTGGTACCAAGCGCTCGCCAACTGGTCCTGCAATTCCCTCACATTGCGAGGGAGTAGCGTGGCAGCACGAATTTCGTTTTCCAAGTTGGACCACAAATTCTCAATTGGATTAAGGTCAGGTGAATTTGGGGGCCAAGACATGACTTGAAAGTCACTAGAATGTTCCTCGAACTAATCCATGACGATTCGACCTTTATGACATGGTGCATTATCCTGTTGGTAAACACCATCCCCCGCAGGAAAAACTGTTGCCATTAATGGGTGAACCTGGTCTGCAACTATGTTCAAGTAGCTTACAGACGTCAGGGATTGTTCTATGAGGATTATGGGTCCTAATGTGCCCCATGAAAGCATTGTTCCTGGGTGAGAAACCATGAAAACTTGGGCGAGCCCTTTGTTATAGATGGAAGGTGGTCATAATGTAATGGCTCTTCGGTGTATATCCCGTGAAACCTTTGATTTATAAACATTTCATTCAATATATTTTATTTATGTAGATTTCATTGTAGATTCATTTAGATTACTAATAAATTCATTGAATTTTCCGCATGAAAGTTATAAATTTGAGTTCTTAGAGACGCATTAGTCTATGGCTTTTATTCTAACAAAAACTCAAAAAACGAATGAAGGCCAAAGAAAAGGCAGGAAAACGAAGGGAAAAAAACGAAAAATAGTTAAAAAGTAGGTGAAAGAACCGCGGTGGCTCAGGGGATAGAGCAATTGCCTCCAAATGATGTGACCCAGCTACGAATTCCAGAGATGACTGGTTGATACGAATTCTGCTCCTGACTCGCACCAATCACCGTGCTGACGTAAAATATCCACAGTGTTAGATGAATCATGGGTCAGAATCCCCTTGCCATTGCACTAACTGTGGTTGGTTTTCGTAGCTTCTCCTTCCATGTTACGCAAATGCGGGTTGGTTCCTCAAAAAAAATCTTCCACGATGGCAAACTTTCTCCCAATACTTGATCCAAGAGTTCCCTTGCCTGCTGGGTCGGGTACAAAATTACAAAGCCATGGAGTTGAACATTTGTAGTCGTAAACTTAGAATTGGGTCGGCTGTTCAATTAATGCAACAAATTAATAGAATAATTTATTTGCTTCTATGAATTGCTCGATTTTTACCTTTCATTTCTGCCCAAGTTATAGCTTAGTTTTTTTCATCTTTTCATTGCCAACTCGAGAAAAGAAATTTCACCACTTTTATATTAATATATGCAACTGTGTTCGATATAATATATATTGTTTTACTCATTGCATATAACAACTATCTATGTTAATGTTCGACGTTAAAACTGAATCTCCGATAATGAATATTAATGATACTGATTTAAGCAAAAATTCTGCCTAATTTTTGTTTTTTAATTAGATTTATAGTTAAGTTTTTTTTTCAGGTGCGTTTTTCTGTGTGATTTTTTAATTAATCTGGACTTATAACCCATTCGCGTTCAAATGAGTTGCTCTAGATTACGTCTATATTATATGATTCCGCCAATACGTCCTAGTATTTTAGCTTTTTTTCCATCGTAAAGTTTATACTTTTTCCTTCAAAATTAACTGTCTCATTTTTTCTTAAGACGATTTTTTTTCTAGTTAAAAAAAAGAATAATTTCAGAAAAAATTTTTTTCGTCATTTTTTACTCCCGAAATATTTAAATTGTAACATTTGTGAATCAAAAGCTGATATTAACTCCAAATTTAAGTAAATATATGTAGCCCCTTTTTATTTAAATCCCGAAAGAAAAAAAGCAAGGAATTATACGATTTTTAATTAATTTTTAACCATATAGAAAATTTAAAATTTCCGATTCCCTTGGCAATTATTTCTAGCGTTCAAGTGAGATTATTTAATCTCTCTATCAACGCATGCGCGTAAGGTCAATAAAGGAAGAGATCACTTGTACTGGGAGATAACAAAATTATTAATATTGTGATATATCTTGAGAAAATATAGATATTTTACGATATAACTAATTTATATATTTATCGCATCAATGTTTTTTAGAACATTTTCGTAACTCAAATGAAGACATTTCTTTTCAAAAGCATTTTAATAAATCATAACTTTATAAATAACTGATCATTTATAAAAATTTATCTGTGTATTAAATAAGAGATAGAAAAGATTTAGTTTTATTTACAACAATTTAGCGTTAAATGAGAATTTTTTCGAATTAATTTTGATTACTGATCTAAATAAAATAAAAGGGGAAAAAGTATACTACATATTTGAGCATATTACAAGTATACTACATATTTGAATATTATTAAATAATGATATTTTAATGACGCGATATCCTCTTTCAGCAACCGGTAGTCCAAAATATTGTCAATTTTACTCTTAGCAGAAGATTTTTCTACTTACCAGAGGTGTTGAGAGCTTTTTTCTTCGATAGCTCATTTTTAAATATTCATGATTAAACGGCAACTTTCTATGTGAAGTCCTGAAGCAACATCGCTTCAGAATAAAGAGGAAGTTGCAGAGCAGCGAAAACGTGCACCATCTCACCCTAATGCTTTAATTTGTTTCTAAAAATACCAATGCCAAACATTCAGAGCAATGCTGCCAAATACAGAAGAATCAATGTGGAGCCACAAAGAGGTGACTTCGGAAAGGCGGAAGACAATGAAGTGATGAGTTCGGGTAAATGATATAACTGGTCGCCTTAGACGATTAGTATTGAATGTAATAGATAATTAGTACTAAAAATAATACAAATTGCGACAAGTAGAAAAATACTCTTTATCTGAGCTTCTTTATTGACGAATTAAAATTTTTAATTCTCCGAATAGGAAAATTTGTTGCAATTTGTAAAATACAAGTTCGAATAGTTTAAGTTTTAGGAGTAAATCATACAACTTACCTTTGTTTTTATGCTTTTGATATCATCGTAACCTATCCATTGCCTCTCTTTAACTGCATAAGGAGCAGCGATATGTTTCTCAACTTTAATATTCCATCCTTTTTCAAACTCCAATTTCTTGCAGATCTGATGTGAAATTAATGTGAAAAAAATATTATCTTAACAAAACAAACTTTTACACTTGAATGTTTGATATATGAAGTCAGACACGTTAGTTTTGGTAATTAGTTATTAGACCTAATGTAACTAGTTATAATGTAATTTTTACTGAAATGATAAAAAAAAAATATTTGATAAACCATGATGGTAATTAACTGATAAATTGAGGTAAAAAAATGTGTTTTTTTCCTTAAACAACACTATAAAAAATTCCGGATCAAATTAATAAAAATTCCTGCTCCCCTGTGTGCAGCATCCGTAAAATGCATTTTACAAAATACGTTTATCTCATAACTTTTACAGAAATATTCCTTTAATTACAAAGATTTATACAAGAAATATCATTGTAAAAGTTGTGGTATATCATAATTTTTGTTCCGAAATATTTAACGGTAAAATTGAATTTGGCCATTATTTTATCCGGTATCTTTTAAAAAGTGTTCTGGCTTTATATCGATGCTCTTTATTTAGAACCTTTCTATTTACCAGTCAAGCTAGCAAATTGAAAAAAAATAGGTTACAAGAGATTTGACTCTTTTGTAAAGATTCATTTTTTTCAACAGTATCTTAGCTCTGTTTTACTGAGTAATAATTCTAAAAAAAGAAAAGAAAATTTTGTGGAATCTTAAAGATTATTGGCAAGCAACATCACAAAAAATTTTCCGATAAGACTAATTTTGTCCAAAATTCATTTATTTTAATTTGGGAAAATTATACTATCAAAATATTTGCTGTACAACAATAGGTAGCACAAAAATTGTCTTAGTATATGTAAATTTAATATTTTGAAATGAGAAATTGATTCTCTCATCACATTATTTTAGTCGAATTTTTGAAATTTCTTTTTTGGAATACCACAAAAAATTGCTATTTTAAACAAAAATAAAATGTTAAAAATTATATGTTTTTAACCATTGAATATTAACTCTCTGAGTTGGTACTGATAATTTTGCTTTTTAATTACTTTAAAACATGTACATTTCTGAATTTTGTTTAGATTGCTCTTTGTTTCGTTTATTTATGTTTATCACATTTTTTCCCTGCTTCATATGAGTTTTATTTTGACACAGACGTGGAATATTTATATAATAAAAATTTTAATTTAATTGCTTGTTTAGTGGTGTTTTGGTGTTCTACTGGGAACCGTGTGTTTACAATCAGTCCACTGCGGGATGAAAAAAACAGAACAAGAAAACCACAGTGGCCGGGAGGTGCAAATCAGGGAATTAGCATTCATACGAATAAAAAATTAGGAACCTATTTTTGTGCGCTTGAAACATGTCAACTGTTAATTCCAATTTGTACATTTTTGCAGCGAATGAAGTTTTTAATCGAGTAATACTTCTTTTCATATTTAATTTCAGGTAATCAATCAAAGATTTGAGTATATAAGATATTTTTTGTATTTCTGAATATTAAAACAGGTAGTTATATTATAAAGGTTATCCGAATTCCACGCTACTCAATTTCATAAAACATTTTCTAAGCTACATTTCCGTAAAAAAAAAAAAGTAAAAGTAAAATTTTCCGGATCAAGTTACGGTATCGGCATTTTGGGTGCACCATCCTTAAAATCCATTTTACCGTGAAATCCGATTCTATTGTAAGGTATTATACTGTAATTTTTACAGTAATATTTATTTAATTAGAGTGATTCAGTTATTTCACGGTGTTTCTTACTATAAAAATTACGATTTATCAGATTTTTTGCTAGTAAAATGGATTTCACGGTGAAAAGTACCGGCACATTTTACCGTAATTTTATCCCAAACTTTTAAAGGGTTATCAAAATTACTATTATTCTTGAGGGATTGCTTTTAAATTATTGCGCATTCGATGCAAGATATATTCACAGACTTGATTAAATACTTAATTCTTCAATTTTACATGGGAATTATGCCAATAAATATTGAAAATCTTTGCAAAAATTTAAGTGTAGATCAAATGTTTAAACTTAAACTTAAAATCAGCTAACACTATGAAAAATTATTTAGAAACATACACAATAACAAAATTTTTGCTCTCATTTTGAAAAAAAAAGAAAAAAAGGAAAAAAGAGAGAGATTCTTTTTACCTCGTTATATCCAAGGAAACCCTGTTCTCTTGTAAATTCTCCAGCTATTCCTTTTCCGGTAATAGGAGCATTTAAATCATTCTGTTCTGGATCACGTAGAGTAAAGCTACGACCGTAGAATGGTAGTCCTAAAATTAATTTTTCAGCTGGAGCTCCTTTTTCCAACCAGTATTTCACTGCAAAATCCTAAAAACATAGAATTGGATTTATATTATTACGGTTTTTAAAAAATGTAAGTTCTTCAGAATATTCACCTTACTCCTCATTAATTTTAATATATTCATTGTTTTCTTGTTCAGCTTTTCCAAGTAATGCACAAAATTTTATATATACCTTATATATATATACTTCACTAAGAAATTTATCTGAACAATTTTGTTCAATTAAACTAACCCACACTGAGAGAAAAAGTATGGTCAAAACTACCAGAATATGGCAAAATTTACCATGTTTTTAGCTCTATGGTTGCACCAAGAAGCTCGATCATTTTTACAGAAGCGTTTTGGCAATGATTTTGTTAAAATTATTAATAAAATATGATTTTATTATATGTAATAAATTTAGGCAATTTTATCATACCTTAGAGAATGCCATAAAGACATTTATTTGGTTAAATTTACTTTACAGTTTGGTATTTGTTATTAAAAGTGTAGTAATAAGATCTATAATTTTCAAAACCATAATTTTTGGTAAAATGTTACCATGTGAATGAAAAAATTACCAAATGAATGATTTCAATACGGAATATTTTTGTTAATTTTTGTTAATTTTAATTTGGTTAATTTTTGGGTATATTTACACAACGTTTCAAAATTTAGGCAATTTTATCATACCTTAGAGAATGCCATAAAGACATTTATTTGGTTAAATTTACTTTACAGTTTTGTATTTGTTACTAAAAGTGTAGTAATAAGATCTATAATTTTCAAAACCATAATTTTTGGTAAAATGTTACCATGTGAATGAAAAAATTACCAAATGAATGATTTCAATACGGAATATTTTGGTTAATTTTTGTTAATTTTAATTTGGTTAATTTTTGGGTATATTTACACAACGTTTCAAAATTTAGGCAATTTTATCATACCTTAGAGAATGCCATAAAGACATTTATTTGGTTAAATTTACTTTACAGTTTTGTATTTGTTACTAAAAGTGTAGTAATAAGATCTATAATTTTCAAAACCATAATTTTTGGTAAAATGTTACCATGTGAATGAAAAAATTACCAAATGAATGATTTCAATACGGAATATTTTGGTTAATTTTTGTTAATTTTAATTTGGTTAATTTTTGGGTATATTTACACAACGTTTCAAAATTTAGGCAATTTTATCATACCTTAGAGAATGCCATAAAGACATTTATTTGGTTAAATTTACTTTACAGTTTTGTATTTGTTACTAAAAGTGTAGTAATAAGATCTATAATTTTCAAAACCATAATTTTTGGTAAAATGTTACCATGTGAATGAAAAAATTACCAAATGAATGATTTCAATACGGAATATTTTGGTTAATTTTTGTTAATTTTAATTTGGTTAATTTTTGGGTATATTTACACAACGTTTCAAAATTTAGGCAATTTTATCATACCTTAGAGAATGCCATAAAGACATTTATTTGGTTAAATTTACTTTACAGTTTTGTATTTGTTACTAAAAGTGTAGTAATAAGATCTATAATTTTCAAAACCATAATTTTTGGTAAAATGTTACCATGTGAATGAAAAAATTACCAAATGAATGATTTCAATACGGAATATTTTGGTTAATTTTTGTTAATTTTAATTTGGTTAATTTTTGGGTATATTTACACAACGTTTCAAAATTTAGGCAATTTTATCATACCTTAGAGAATGCCATAAAGACATTTATTTGGTTAAATTTACTTTACAGTTTTGTATTTGTTACTAAAAGTGTAGTAATAAGATCTATAATTTTCAAAACCATAATTTTTGGTAAAATGTTACCATGTGAATGAAAAAATTACCAAATGAATGATTTCAATACGGAATATTTTGGTTAATTTTTGTTAATTTTAATTTGGTTAATTTTTGGGTATATTTACACAACGTTTCAAAATTTAGGCAATTTTATCATACCTTAGAGAATGCCATAAAGACATTTATTTGGTTAAATTTACTTTACAGTTTTGTATTTGTTACTAAAAGTGTAGTAATAAGATCTATAATTTTCAAAACCATAATTTTTGGTAAAATGTTACCATGTGAATGAAAAAATTACCAAATGAATGATTTCAATACGGAATATTTTGGTTAATTTTTGTTAATTTTAATTTGGTTAATTTTTGGGTATATTTACACAACGTTTCAAAATTTAGGCAATTTTATCATACCTTAGAGAATGCCATAAAGACATTTATTTGGTTAAATTTACTTTACAGTTTTGTATTTGTTACTAAAAGTGTAGTAATAAGATCTATAATTTTCAAAACCATAATTTTTGGTAAAATGTTACCATGTGAATGAAAAAATTACCAAATGAATGATTTCAATACGGAATATTTTGGTTAATTTTTGTTAATTTTAATTTGGTTAATTTTTGGGTATATTTACACAACGTTTCAAAATTTAGGCAATTTTATCATACCTTAGAGAATGCCATAAAGACATTTATTTGGTTAAATTTACTTTACAGTTTTGTATTTNTTCACCACTTACAATCTAAATAGCTAATACACTTTTTTAAAAGCCAATAAGAACATTGGTAGAATTCTTCTACATAAGTACAATACTGTGTCTTTGATGATAAAATACTATGTCTTTGATGATAATATAAATATGTCTTTGTGCTAGAACATTGTGTTCATTGGCGAGTGAGCGCAGCGAGCCATGGTTCACGGCGTGAACCACATAGGATTGCGTAGCAATTCTCGGGGGTTGGCGAGCGTTAGCGAGCAGGGGGCGGAGCCTCCTAGTTGTTATATATTTTATGAGACCATTTTATATTAAGAATTCTAATACATTTGTTGATGAAAGCCTATAACTTATTTGTATTTTTTGTTTCAAGTTGTACCATGTTTCTAATCCGTATAAAAGTACTGATTTCACTTTTAAGTTGAATATTTATATTTTTGTTTCATTTGAAATGGTCCTAAATGCCCAAAATTTATTTGGAATAGCAAAATCACAGTATGCTGAAAATAAATACAGTAAAAAACACAGTGAAAAATTAAGATTAAATTACGTTAAAAAAAGCACCGGCGCCCTAAGTGCCGTTATTTTTTATTTTTACTGCAAGCTGAACTGATACTTTGTTCATTTTTACTGAACAAAGTATCAGTTCAGTGTACCGCAATTCGAAGTATACTGTAATTTTATATAAAGAAATATTTACTATAAAATCGCAGATTCACTGTAATTATACAAATATTGCTGTCGAAATTGAGGAATACTGAGGAATTGCGGAATATAGCACGGAAAAAATGGATGCACTGAATGAATGAATGCGCCTAAATTCATTCATTCAGTGCATCTATTTTTCATGAATGCGCCTTTTATGAATGCACCTAAAGTGTCGGTACTTTTCACCGTAAATTGGTTCGAAATAAAGAAAATTATTTTTCCGGAAATAAAAAAATTATTTTTTTTACTTTTTTCTAATCAAGACAAATTCGGCTGTACTATTATAATTATCATTATTCAAAAAAATATTAAATTTCTGATCATCATTCAATATCATAAGTCAGTAAATTAAAAATTTACAATAATTGTATCTAAACTTACCACATTAAGCTTTTTGTTATCTTCTGAATCATTTGGTAATAAATATAAGGGAGCATTGTGACCAGTTAGTTTGTCCCAACCACCATGAAAGTCATACGCCATTAAATTGATAAAATCCAAATATCTGTATAGAATATATAATGAAAAGTTTATGATGATATGTGAAAATCAAACTGTTATGCATATAATACAAAACTATCCACACAAAAATTAAAAACAACCCTATAGCTACATTTTGTTATATTTTTCTGCTTTTATGATTTGTAGCATCATCAATAATGATACGACAGCGCAGGATGGGCTAAGACCTTCCTAACCTGTCGTTTCCAATCACTACAACTGGTAACCAAAATCTCTCATTCATGAAAATTGCTTTAGTATTTGGAAGCTATTAAACACTACTGAATTTAACAATAAAGAACCGTGTTTTCCTGATACATATTTTCAAGGTTTATTTTCGTTCTTTTCGTTTTTATTTTAACGAAAGCCACAATTATTATTTTATATTCAGCTTATGCATTCACCAAATCTAATGAAGAACTAGACTGGATGCGAACTCCAAACCTGTAGGATCAACTATCTGATGTCAAAAACAATTTTAAGCCTAGCATTTGATGATACGATACGATGAAAAAATTTCATTCTTCATTCATTCATTCACTTTTTTAAAAATAACTTATGAAATTTCAGATGCTAAATATTTTCAGAATAATTAATAATCGTGCGTTGATTTATATGCTTACATTCGCTTGCATTATGCCTCGCCGAAATCAAGTCGATCGTTTAAGTTTCCATAGCCGAATAAAATTGGGAGCCGCTGGTTGATGGCGTCAGATGCAAGCGTTAGAGTACGCCTTAGAACTAGCACTTTAAAGTACTAGTAAAGGCCTGGTTTCTTAGGACAGGACGCCGTCAGATGGAAATCAGCGCTAACCTCTGATTGGTCCATTTGTGAGTTTGATAGTATACGTCATCGAGTTCAAGATGAGCGTTCGATGACGTACACTATCAAACTCACAAATGGACCAATCAGAGGTTAGCGCTGATTTCCAGCTGACGGCGTCCTGTCCTAAGAAACCAGGCCTTAAGATACAGTATTGAAGTGTAATAAAGAATTTTAACAAGACTTGGAGCCATGGTGGCTCATGGGATAAAGTATTCGCCTTCCAATGAGGTGAACTGGGTTCGAATCCCAATAATGGCTGGTTGATACGAATTTCGCCCCCGGCTCGCATTGACCACTGTGCTGACATAAATACCCTTAGTGCTATATGGATTAAGGGTTTAAGTCCTCTTGCGGTCAGACTAATTGTGGGAGGTTTTTGTGGTTTTCCTCTCCATGCAACGCAGAAGGGGATTAGTTCCATCAAAAAGTTCGCCACGATGACAAATTTCTTCCTATATTTGATCCAGGAGTTCCCTTGTCTTCTGGATGGCGTTCAAAATTACACTGCTACGGAGTTGAACAATAGTAGTCGTAAGCCAAAAATTGGGTCAGCTGATCAACGATGATTATAAAATAAAACTTAGGCTTAAAAAGGTTTTGTATTGTTGAATTGATGATGTTGTAATAAGGAATTGATGATGTTGTATTGTTGATATTGTATTGATGATGATGTAATGAAATTCTAAATTTTTAGCTCATACAAAATTAAAAATAGAGGTATAAAAAAAGCTACGTTGCATTGCACCAAGCTCGTATAAATGTATAAATATGTAAGACATAACACAAAAAGGGAAATCAGATAAATAGTTTCTGACATTAAAGTTTTAAAACTCGATTTGGAGAAAAAATGTCATTTGAAAATCAGAATTTCGATGAAGAAAGCTATAAGAATTTCTGGAACTTGGTCGACACAGAGCTCCAGAAAATGAGTGCTTTATCTATGTAAAGTAGTCGAAATTTTGATCCCGAGATACCATCACCACAGGCATAGAAACGAGTCAAACGTAGTAATGATAATGGATAATTTACTTCAATTTCCTAAAACATATTTTAATTGAGTTACAAGCGTTCTCAAACAAGTTTTACCATAAAATAATAAAATTTTTTAATAATTATTCCATTAAATAATGGGTTAGCTTTGTGTGCAAAAAGGTAAAAATAGCTCAAATTAGGCCGAGTATAAATAATGCAGTTTCGGTTCTAAAGAGAAGAGACTTTTCAGTCTTGGAACACAGAAGAAACAAGGGAAACACAGAAATGCAGAAGAAAATTACAGACAAATCACAACAAAGAAAAAAGGAATTGAATAATAAGGTAGGACGAACAAATTGAAGGAGATAATCAAACAAAAGAAGGGGGATAAGAAAAATTGCTCTGGTGAGGTCACCGTTGCGAAGTGTAAAGATTAAAAGACAACATATTTCTGAACTTTTGGAAAGAGCACAATAACATATGTCAAACATTTAGAAAGATGTTTGAAATTCCATTTTCTTTAAATGTCAGCATTTAAGGGTCTCACCCTACCACTGCACCTTTTTTTCCTCATAACCTTTATCTTGTTACTGTCTTGCTTGTACCCTATTAGTAAACACTATTTTCAGGCTGTAATTTGTTTGCAATTTTCTTTCGCATCACTGTGTTTCCCGCTTTCATTATATATTTGGATATTTAATGAAACTCTTAATTATAGAGACAAAACTACAAGTTCGTTTATATGTTATTTGCTCTCTTTTCACTTTTAGCTTTATTCATGTTAATAAATGAATAGTATGAAGTTTATAAAAGCTTTCTCAATTCCTGAAACTGCTTTAAGACATGAAACTAGGAAAGTCATTATTTGAAATCGAAATGTGCTCTTTTCACATTGGGAAGACATTCTCGAACCTTAAATTATAGATTACTTTATTTAATTATTATCACAATAAAAATATGAAAATATTACATACTTACTTTCCTAAAGCTGGTATGTCATAAGCGCCATCAATTGTTTTCTGCCCTGCAGATACGGCTGCTGTTAACAACATATTATTTGGTTTAAAGGCTTCTCTCAATTCCTGAATTAAACAGAAAAACCATAAAGCAAAGAAAAAAATAAACTTGCATTTAAAAGCATGTTAAGTTAAAATTAAGATTTATTAAGATTAAATTAAGTTAAAATTTAGATTTATAGGGTGAGTCTGAACAAGAGGGCTAAACTTTACTGGATGATAAAACACATCTACACGAACAATTTTACCTTTACGTCGTAGAATGTATGATCGCAACACAGGAAGAAGTTAAAAGATATATGTGGGGAGAGTATTTATCGACAATGTCAACCTTCATCTATGAAAAGGTACCCCAACATAGAATCGAGTTAACACGTCTTGTATACTAGTGAATTGGAATTGTACTTTCGTAGTGGTAGTTACACTATAGTACTTCCCCACCAGAATTTTATCTGTGATAGAATTCGATGAATGGATACCACTAGTTGATTCATTGCTGTTTTGTGAGAATCCGGGAGAGCTGTATTAAGATCATCGTAAGTTTGAGTACTGATCGTGAGAGCTGTATTAAGTTCACGGTCGTTATCGCTCTTATGATGCCATTAGAAGTCGAGTGTATACAGGCCGACGTTGTGTGTGATCGAGACTGAGTAACAACAAAGCGAGGAGGTGGAAAATGCTGCAGTCAGAAGTAGCAAGTCAATATTTCAAAGTGGACCATCCATCGGAGTGGATTCAGATCGAAGTGGGCGTTACTGCAAAGGTAGGCGTGTTCACACTTTGTCCGGAAGTCACCAATGTGGGGAGAGTAGTTATCGACAATGTCAACCTTCATCTATGAAAAGGTATTCCAACATAGAATCGAGTTAACACGTTTTATATACAACTGAATTGGAATTGTATTTTCGTAGTGGTAGATACACTACAGCAGTGATTGTCAACCTTTTTTTTTTTTTTTTGTTGCGGCACACTTTTAACGATTTCGAAATTTGACGGCACACAATCAAAAAAATTAGATTAAAAGTTGTTTAATTACCTATTTTACACTGTGTTAAATAGTTTGTGATAATAATTTTGAATGTGAAAAAAATAATATGTACTACAAAAGCACATTTATTAAGGGATTTATTATTTCTCTCGACCAATTTTTTATTAGTTAGTAACAGTTATTTATTTTTTTGCTAGTTATCAATTGTTAAATTGTTTTTTATAATTATTAACTGTTATTTTTTTGTGATTTCCTGTTAACTAGTTTTCTTGCTAATTGTTAATTGTTAGCTTAATTTTTGTTAGTTATCCTTTGTTAAATTGTTTATTAATTGCATATCTTACTTTAATGATAAGCTCTTATAACATTTTTTAAAATTGTATGTCATATACAATCTGAACACTTCCATCTTATTTTAAGATTGTCAGAGACAATACAATCGCCTACAAAGATGCTCACGCGCTTAAAGCGTGAAAAAATTATAAAAAGTATATATAGATATATATATATACTATATATATTCTCACGAGAGCTGTCATTTTTCAGTTCATAAAATCCCAAAAAAGTAAAGTGAATAAAAAGCTCTGAAACTTTTTATATTAATAGAAATATGTAATGGCATTATAAAGAAAGTATATATCCTATAAATTATACTTAATATTAAAATAAATTAATTAATTTCACTGTTTAAAAAGTGAGGGAATGACGCTAATAGTGAGGGAATGATATTTTATTTTAATACATGTTTTTCTCTAAGTTACAGCTTCTTCAAGTTTGAAAATGATAACATACTAAGTATATCTAACATTTATTATAATTTAGTTTTATGTACTTAATAGCTTTTAAAGGTTTGGGAAATAAAATTGGCTGGCACGATTGAACAAAAAAAAAATTAATAATATACTCATCTTGAATCATTCCCTCACTTCAGCATCATTCCCTCACTTTATACACTAGTGAGGGAATGACAAATTTAATAAAATTTAAAAATAACAGTTAGGCCTAATTAATTTCTGAAATCAATCACAT